TTTGCTTCGAAGACAGTTGCAGAACATGTCCTCAGAGGAGAATGGTTTTGGAAGCGTCACAAGTTCAAACTACAATGGTGGTCTCCGATGGCAGGCACTGTTCCGGCAGTCGAAGAAGTGTATCACACATGGATCAGGCTAGTTGGTCTCCCACTTCATTTGTGGTCGCAGAAAGTGTTTGCAGCAGTTGGAGATTATTGCGGTGGCCGGATCCAAACAGAAGAAGAGACAGAGCTTCGAAATCATCTAAAATGGGCAAGGTTGAAAGTTTAAGGAGATGGTGGCGCTATTCCGAAGGCAGTGGACGTGGAATGTGAAGGAACAACTTTCACGATTCAGATTTGGTGCGAGTCACCGGTAAGGACCGAACCAGAGAAGATGGGTTGATAGCTTTGGACCGTTGGGTTTCAAAGGACAATACAACTGGCAAGGGAGGGGCTCAAGATACTGAAAAAGTGTTGGGGCACGTGGGTTGTTCAAAAGGTTTTGAATACTTTAATAAATCACGTGACCATACACGTGAGAAGATTACCCACTTGATCTGTAGTGAGGATTTGGGCCATAATAATATTACAAAATCTTTGGGCCCAGATATTTTAGCCCAATGCATCTCAGAATCTATTAATGAGATCCCTGCAGAGTCCAAGATAGATATTTTAAATGAGGAGATTATGACTAATGAATCTCTTCCACCGCAGGAGACCCAAACACCGATACTTCTTAAAGCAATAACACCGAAAGAAACAGAGAGAGAAGCAAAAGAAAGAGACAATGGGGAATTCCAAAGTGATTTATCAAAGGATGAAGAGCCTATGTTCGTTATTTCAGCTGATTGTTTTACAACAACAGAGAATCAAGAAGAGGGCAACATGTAGATGAGAGAGATGGGCGAAGTGAATGGCCTGACAATTGAAGAGGCAGTACCATTGAGCACACATGTTCATGTAGAAGAAACAGACCCTGATTTTGATACTCCAATTTGGGTACATCAAAATATCATCAGATTAAGCAAGGAGTTTGGGCTGGATTTCAAAGGATGTGAGAAGGAAGCACTTGAATTATTTATGAAAATTGATAGAAAAAGGCAAATAAACAGGGAAGGATCTAGCTCATTGTTACCAGACACGCCTAAGAAGAAAATCTCAAAAGAATTGAAGAGACTGGACATTGGTAGCAATTTTAAAAGCAATGACACACGAAGCAAGGGAGGTGTCACACTTATCCAGAATTGATGAAGGTAAACATTGTCTCATGGAACGTGAGGGGGTTGAACCGTAAGAAAAAGAGGGATATGATCAAGAGCTTGATTCAAAGTTGGAGAGCAGACGTTTTTTACTTTCAAGAATCCAAATTAGAAGGGGACGTAAGGAACGTAGTTAAAGAGCTATGGGCAAACAAATGGGTGAAATTTGCAAAGTTAGAAGCTAGTGGGACTAGGGGGGCATAATCATGTTGTGGGACAACAGAATTTGGGAGGGGGAGATCAGTAGCTTGGGATCTCATTGTATTACTTGCAAATTCACCGGTAAAAACCAGGATTTCACATGACACTTATCTAAGTGTGTATGCTCCAAATGATAGGAGGGATATGGAAGAAGTTTGGTGGAAATTGGGGGCAGCCATGGGTCTTTTTACTGGCCATGGGTGTTATGTGGGGATTTCAACACTGTGAGATTCCCTTCTGAGAAGAAGAATTGTAACAGATTCACTAGAGGAATGTTTGATTTCTCTGAGTTTATTGAGGATATGGAATTGGAAGATCTTCAACTTTCAGGAGGAAGGTTCACATGGAAGAAGGGGGAAAGACATGATATAGCAGCTAGAATTGATAGATTTCTTATCTCTGAAGAGTGGGTAGCAGCTTTCAAGAACATAAAACAATCTATTCTCTATAGAGTCACTTCTGATCACTCACCATTGTTACTAGAGTGTGGGAACTAGGAGCCAACGAAGTCTTATTTTAAGTTTGAAAATTCGTGGCTGCAAACAAAGGGTTTCAGAGAAAGGTTTAAAGGTTGGTGGGACTCTTTCTCTTGTGAAGGACGACCTGATTATATCCTTGCTTTTAAATTGAAAGCCCTGAAGAAGAAACTTAAAGAGTGGAACAGATCTTTGCAGGGTAATTTGGAACTGCAGAGACAAAACATCCTTACACAACTAGCTGAATTAGTAGAGATACAAGAGCAAAGAATATTGAATGATGAAGAAGTACACCTAAGGGTTGTCCTATCTGTGGAGTTTGAGGAAAATGCTAAACACGAGAAGGTGGCTTGGAGGCAAAGATCTAGGGCACAGGAAGGAGATAGCAATACTAAGTTCTTCTATAAAACTGCAAATGCCCATAATAGATACAACTATATTGAACAAATTGCAGCAGAAGGGGTTACTTTAAAAGATCCAGCAGACATTAAAAGGAGATAGTTTCCTTTTATCAAAAACATTATGCAGAATCAGAGGAATGGAGACCACAGGCTAGTTTCAGAGAATGCCCTATGATTAGTGCAGAGGAAATCCAGATGCTGCAAAATTCTTTTGAAGAACAGGAAATATGGGAAAGTGTGAAGGCTTGTGCAGGGGATAAGGCCCCTGGTCCAGATGGATATTCTATGGTTTTCTTTATACATTGTTGGGAGGTGGTGAGGGTGGAAGTGGTTGCTACCATCCAGAATTTCCATGAACAAGGTTTCTTTGAAAAAAGTTTTAATACTACTCTCATAGCATTAATTCCCAAGAAGATGGGTGCCAAAGAGTTGAAGGATTTTAGACCTATTAGCCTGATAGGTTGTGTTTACAAAATCATTTCAAAACTTTTAACAAAGAGACTTAAAAAAGTGGTACATAAGGTGGTGGATGCCTAACAGATGGCCTTCATAAAAGGAAGACAGATAATGGATGCCATCCTTATAGCAAATGAATGTGTAGATGCAAGGATAAAGAGTAAGAAACCTGGTATATTATGCAAATTAGACACGGAAAAGGCTTACGACCATCTCAATTGGAAATTCCTTTGGGGAGGGGGGGTTGCTTGAGAAAATAGGGTTTGGTGGCAGATGGATTAATTGGATCAGGTTTTGTACTAGCACAGTTAAATTTTCAATCTTGATAAATGGCTCACCGACTGGATTCTTTGCATCTGAGAGAGGTCTTAGACAGGGGGATCCCCTATCACCTTTCTTATTCATCCTAGCCATGGAGGGTTTAAATGATTTGATAAAAACAGCACAGACCAACAGTTGGATTAGGGGCTTTATTGTGAATCCCAGGGTTGCCTACAATCTGGAGATCTCTCATTTACAATATGCTGATAATACTTTAGTTTTTTGTGATGCTGATAGAGATAACCTGAAAGTACTGAGAGTAGTTTTCATTCTCTTTGAAGCCACTTCAGGATTACACATTAATTGGAGTAAAAGTTACCTTTACCCAGTTAATGAAGTTAATGAGATCCACCATCTGGCTGCAATTTTAGGGGGTAAAGTAGGAGTATTGCCAACAATCTACTTGGGTATGCCACTGGGGGCAAGGAGTAAATCAAAAGGGATTTGGAATGGAGTGAGAAGTGTGAAAAAAAACTAGTCAATTGGAAGAACCTATATCTCTCTCTAGGTGGAAGATTGATTTTGATAAATAGTGTTCTTGATGCTTTACCTACCTATATGATGTCTCTGTTTCCGATTCCTGTCAGTGTTGTGAAGAAGCTGGATGCTATCAGAAGAAATTTCCTTTGGCAAGGAAATAGTGACACAAAGTAAATGCACTTGGCAAAATGGAGTACTCTTACAACAAGTAAGAAGGAAGGTGGTCTGGGAATCAAGAATTTGATAATCCAAAACCAAAGCCTGATGATGAAATGGCTATGGAGATTTGCTGCTGAAGAACAGTCCTTGTGGAGGGATGCTATCAAGCTAAAATATGGGATGGATGGTAAATGGACTACTAAAGCTGTGAATAGCACCTATGGAGTCAGTTTGTGAAAATCCATAAGAAACTTATGGCCCATGCTCATCAATAAGTCTAGTTTCAAAGTAGGAGATGGTATGAAAACATCCTTTTGGGATGACAAATGGCTAGGGCAAAGGCCATTGAAACAACTCTTTCCAGATATTTACAATCTGAATCAACAACAGAGAGCATGCGTGAGAGAAGTATGGGGCAATCCAGGATGGAATCTTAGCTTCCGAAGACTATTGAATGACTGGGAGGTGGACAGGCTAACAGAGTTCTATAATACCCTGGAACAATTCAGGGGGCTTTCAACCAGAGTGGATAACGCACAAGGAATTTTTTTTTGTGAACTTAGCATATAAGGAGTTTAACCTTTCAAACAATCAGATTGATTGTTGGCCTTGGAAGATGATATGGAAAGTTAAAATCCCATACAAGGTAGCATGCTTCACATGGTTATTGGCAAAAGAGGCAGTTTTGACTCAAGACAATCTTATTAAGAGGGGTTTTCCGTTATGTTCCCGATGTTATTTATGTGGTGAAGAGGCCGAGATATTCAATCATCTCTTTTTACACTGTAGAATGACAGATCAATTATGGAAGATATTTATTAATTTGAGGGGAATCAGGTGGATCATGCCAAGGAGAATCCAGGAAGTCCTAGCTTGTTGGAACAGAGACGGTAACCTTTCAGGACACAAAGAGAGATGGAAGATTGTCCCAGCTTGCATTTGGTGGACAATCTGGAAAGAGAGAAACCAGAGATGTTTTGAAGATAACAGAAGTTCCATTGAGAAGCTGAAGATGAATTGTTTAGTCCTATTTTATTTTTGGTGTAAACAGGAGTACTTACGAGAAGCTGAATTTATTTATGAGATTTTAGATTACTTATGATAGGTTAAGACTTAGGAACTCAGGCTTCAACTCTCCTTGTAACTATATAGGACTACACTGCTTTGTAATCTAATTTTATTATATATGCTAATATGTTACC